TAAAGATGAAACATGGCTTATTGCAACTGATGTTAATTCGAATACAAGTGACGTCATAACATTGTCTGATGCCTAATGACCTGAACTCGGCCAAAAAAGGCCCGTAAAAGCTCATGACCAGTGACGTCACACTCAGTGGATTACCAGTGACGTCATTTCGTTAGCTGATGCCTTATGGCTTTCGCTCAGCCAAAAATAGTTGGTAAAAATTCATGACCAGTGACGTCGCACACTCAGGTGACTCGGCAGAGCCATCATTTAACGCACCAATACTTTACAGGTACGAAAGGCAAAGATGGAACATGACCTGTTACGCCTCATGTTAAGTCGAACACCACTGACATCATGTCGTCAACTGATGCATTTTTCCCTATAGAGGGTTCCAAGGAGCCAGAAAAAACTCATGACCAGTAACGTCACACACCCAGGAGACTCGACAGAGCCTTCATTCAGCACGTCAATACTTGTAATAGACGGGTACGAAAGGTAAAGATAGAACATGGCCTGTCGCGCCCGATGTTAAGTCGGACACCAGTGACGTCATATCATCAGCTGATGCATTATACCGCTTGGGGGTACAAAAGTCCCGTAAAAAGCTCTTGACCAGTGACGTTACTTACTCAGGAGACTCGACAGAGCCCTCATTCAGCACGCCCATACTTCCAAGAGACAGGTACGAAAGGTAAAGATGGAACATGGCCCGTCGCGCCTGGAGTTTAGTCGAATACCAGTGACGTCATATCGTCAGCTGATGCTTGATGTCCTTCATTCAGCCAGAGTAAACCCGCGTTAACTCATAACTAGTTACACCACACGCTCAGGTAATTCGGCAGAGCCCCTGTGTCGCGTGAATACTTGCAGTAGATAGGTGCGAAAGGTACAGACGAAACATGGCTTAGATGGAGCATGGCCTGTTGCGCATGATGTCTAGTCGAAACCCAGTGACATCATATCGTCAGCTGATGCCTTGTGGCCTATAGTAGGCTCAAAAGAGTGTGCAAATTAATGGTCAGTGACGTACACACTCAGGTAATTTGGCAGAGCCTTCCACGGCAATGCTTGCAATGGACAGGTACCAAAGATAAAGGTGGAACATGGTCTGTCGCGCCCGAAGTTCATTCGAATACCAGTGACGTCACATCTTCAGTCATTGCCGTATGACCTTTCGTCGGCCCAAAAGAGGCCGTAAAACCTCATGACCAGCGACACGCACAGTCGAGTGCCAGCGACGTCACATCGTTAGCTGATGCTTTATGGTCTTTAGTTGGCCGCACAAAAATCCGCCAATGCTTGCAGCAGACATGTACGAAAGGTATAAATGGAGCATGACCTGTTGCCTGATGTTCAGCCAAATACCAGTGACGTCATATCGCCAGCTGATGCCTAACGGCATTTCGTCGGTCCTATAGGGCCCGTGGAAACCCACGGCCATTGACGTCTTACAGTCGTATAGCAGTGACGTCGCTAGCTGACACCTTGTGGTCTTCAGTTGGCCGAAAAGCACCGTTGGAACTCATGGCCAGTGATGTCACACACTCAGGGTGGTTCGGCAGCTTTCATCCAGCACGCCAATGCTTGCAGTAGACAAGTACAAAGGTAAAAATGAAGCACGGCCTGTTGCGCCCAGTATTTATTCGAATACCAGTGACGTCACGCCATCCGGTGATACTTCGCGGACCACGACACACCGTGGTCGTGGGGCCTAAGTGCACTCGTATGAAGTGATGATTAGGGACCGTCACACATTGGGGTAATTCGGTCAAACCTTTATGCGGCACGCAAATGCTTGCAGCAGACAGGTACGAAAAGTAAGATGGAACGAGGCCGGCCGCGCCTGATGTTCAATCGAATACCAGTGACGACACATGGCCAGCTGATGCATTACGGCATTCAGTGGACCCAAAAGAGCCTTACATACTCACGACCAGTGACGTCACATACCCAGCCGAATACCAGTGACATCATGTCACAAGCAAAAGCCTTATGGCCTTCAGTCGGCCCGAAAGAACCCCGATCCCGATCGATGCAGAACCATTTTCAGTGACGTCACAATGTTAGCCGATGCCTCACAGCTTTTGCCCCGCACGACAATACTCGAAACCCTGCAGCTAGCGTAGCTCTTCCCTCCGTCGGCCATACAGGTACCCAAGTAAAAAATTACCTACAAATGCACATATGAATGATAGAGATTAAACAATATGCATGGATACCAACCTTTGTAGTGGGCCCTTAAGTTATTCTGTGTCAGGCCAACATCTTGAAATTTATCTTTCTGGCTCCAGCAAGTTGGCAACGGAGTTTCCTTGGTGTCCACCATGGGATACAGCTGTTTAAGGCGATCAGCGAACTGATCCTGACCGATTGCACAGAGCTCCATTTCTGTCCTTTGTGCGCACTCAGAGCTACGCACGGTCCAAATCCGAGTTTTACCAGGACACAATGACGAGCGATGGCCACTAGGCCTTTTTCCTCACGCAGTCGTCACCCTTTTGGAAACGAATCTTGCAAACAGAGCAGATCAATGGTATCGAAACAAACTAAGAATTGAAGTTGCCTCTCCTACACCCCAGACGAATCTTCTGAACACCATCCAACTTGTTTTTATTCTGTCACTCATCCACACGCGCACCACTTCCCCACATACACGACCATTCGCAACAGCTGACTGGCAGTGGCGTTTCTCGCACGGTCACAGCTGTTCCCGTGCACACAAAGAATATACTGCGTCATGATGCCAGAGCTGAATACATTTAAAACAATTCGTTTGCTGGATTGCTTGTTACCTACATAGCCCTGCTGTGCATCGGAACCATATATTTTGCATACGGTTTTCTAATCTTAGTTTTTTTCTCATGAATCCATGCCACAAATGCGCATCGGACATGGTAAACGACGACCACGCGATCATTTCCCGCTTATCTATCGTCGGAAAACGACGCGTTGCATCGCATGTACACTCTGCAAATGACCGG